CAGGAATTCAGCAGCAGCCAGCTATACTGCACAGAGTGAGGAATCATAGAATCATTAAGGTTGGAAAACGCCTCTAAGATCACCCAGTCCAACCCCAACTCACTCCACCATGCCCACTGACCATTTTCTTCAGTACCACATCTCCACTTTCCTTGAATATCTCCAGGGACAGTGACTCTGCCACCTCCCTGGGCAGTCTGTACCACCGCATCACACTCTTGCTAAGAAATTTTCTGTAATATCCAAACTGAACATTCTCTGGCACAACTTAAGGCCATTGCCTCTCATCCTATTGCTGTTACCTGGGAGAAGAGATCAACCTCCCCCTCCCAGCCCCACTACAACCAACATGTTGCAGAGAGAAAGGGCTGCAGATTTGGCAAGGTGGCATCCTTTTGAAGATCCAGCAAAAGCATCACAAGATAAGAGCCAGAGCATAGTTCTCTAACTAAATCACTGACCTGAACAAGCTCCCTTCAAGCTTGCAGACTGTAATCCCTCTGACTTCTATCTCTAAAAGCAGCACTACTAAAATGCCATTAAACTACCTTCTCTTTTCACCTGCTTTATCACATTTATCTTGTGAACAGGTGAAGTCCATGAAGAAGTAACATCCCTGCTGCTTTCAATTACAAAAGTGAAAGGTCAGGTTGGCTATAAAAGCTTTCCTGAAAGCTGAGGGGCTGTGATTCTAATCTTGTGTCCTATGACAATGCAGCAATCATTTGGTACTGCAGCTTATTTTGGGAAGTGTGTTCTGGTTATATATATAGAAAACAGCAGAGTAGGTGATGTCTGATTCCTTTCAAGGCTCTTGTGTGACTTAGAGGACCAGCTATCAGACTGGGCTCAACTGTAGGGAGAAGTCAATAGAATCTATGAAAGAAAAAGAGAAGAAATTGAATTCCTCACTATCTACGAGGCAGCAATTGCATATGGAGGAGACAGAGCTCGAGGGAATGGTGCAGTGTGTGGAAATAGAAACCTGAGGCTATCCCTTCCCCTGCCTTCCCAAAAGAAACCTGCTTCCATCCCACTGCAGAAACACCACAGCGAGGGGAACACATGGATCTGTGCTTCAGAGCAGAAACATCCTGGTGATGTGGAGTCACAGCAGGCATCAAATCAGAAAGGAAATCAAGGAGCAGCATAGGGCACTGCCAGGTGTTGCCAGAGGTGGCTTTTCCACCCACATGGATGAGGAGAGATGAGATGATCTCCAGCAATCTGCTGCTTTGAAGGAAAGCGCAGTTCTACATGCAGACAAAATGCTTCCAGTACTCAGCTGCTAAACCATGGCTGGAAAGATCCCAGTGTCTACTGCAAGGAAACAAAATGTTTAACCCCTTGGCATGAGGAGGAGAGTAGCTGTTGTGCTGCTTTCTCTGTGAGCTGCACAGAGGGCTGGGCTTGCCTTGAGCTCATGCATTAGCTGATTTCTCCAGGTGGGCTGTGGCCTTACGTCCCCATGGGTCTCTGGTGTCACCAGGCAAACTCCTCACTGTGCTGGGTGTTGGACCAAAGCTGAAGTACCATTACTGACTCAGAAACCAGCAATGCAAGGGGCAGATGTAATAAGAAGGTCTTTCTGAGCCTATAGTAATGATGACCACGCACATCTACCTCACTTAGAAATATTATCACTTTCCAAGCTAGAGAATAAAGCAGAAATAGGGTACATAGAAGAAGTTTCACCTTAAAGCAAGACTGACAATCACTAATGTAGGTGATTGCGTGTCTACCTTAATCCAAACTGTGGAAAAATTGTTCATTGCTGAGGACCCACAAAAGCCTATAAGGTTCCAAAGAGTGCTCTTTATTACAAGAAAAACTGGCATGCCAGAAGGCACTCCTATTTTCAGCAGCTGAACTTGTAAAACTGAGGAAGGGTGTGGGAATCAGAAGGCTCAGCAAGATAAAAAGAACCAAGATTTCCTTAGGTTTTTGTTGAATATGGAGATATTTTTAAGTGCCTGTCAGTGGTCTCTGACAAAATGCTTGGGGACTCTATGAATATCTGTCTTCCTTTGGAGGATTCAGATTGAGGAGCTAAAATATACCTCTTTCAGAAGCGAGCTCCCCTCCATTTGCCAAGGCCAGTAGTTCTGGAAGTCAAATAAGTTTCCATACAAGTAATTTCTGCCCAATGAACTATCTAAAGAGCACAGAACCACTCAGGAATTGGAAAAGATCTGGGGGTCACAGGTTTCTTAAGGGACCACATAAGCTACTGGCACTCCAGACTGCTTGTACAACCAGCAACCTCCATTCATGTGGTGGGACAGAGGCATGGCTAAAGCTGTAGTCGTCCTCTAAGTGGGTTTGCTGATGTTGGAACAGTCTTGGCCAGCAAACTGTGGACAGTGGCAACTAACCACACAAGTGGAGGCAGAAGCCAGCAGTGTGGATCTTGTGCTTATGTGTGAGACCAGACAGGTCCAGGCTCATGCAGAATCATGCACCAAACATGAATCGACTGTGTGATGTTCTTGCAAGAAAGGTATTCTTGGCTGCATTTATAGGAACATATTAGCTAAAGCATGAGAGGTAATTATACAATGCTACTAATTGCTGATGACTCCTCAGCTGTGCTCCTATGTCGATGAATAGTTGTCCAAGGAACAGGCCCATGATGAGTATCTACAGGAAAGCCACATAAGCAGGAGAAACGTGATGCTATTCTGTGATGGAAAACTAGAGGTGTTTGGTTGCTTAATCTATAAGAGGAAATGCCAAAAATGAGAAATGGGGAAACGGCTATTTTCTGTGCATAATAAGAGACAACTTACATCTGTTTTATTACTTCATTAATTCTTATCACTCTTTGGACTGAAACTATAGGAACATCTTTATCTTCTTTTTGGCCATACCATATCGATAGCACAGATATATATTAATAGAAATACTCCAGAAAGTTCTCAGCGAGGCAGTGCCAAAACTGAAAGCAATTCTGCAGTGATGACGCAAAATTCCATGTAAAGTTCTGAGCCGATTCAGCGAGCTTGGATCGGTTGGGCTCAGTAGTAAAAATCCTATAATTGCTAGTCTTCAGCCATACAGCATCATCCTATATAACATCATCCCATAGCTGGCTAGTGAGAATGCACTTGCATCACAAACTGGTGAATGTTCTGGTGTGTGATTGTCATGAAACATACCTGACCTTGGAAACTGCACAGTCACTGTCTGTCCAGACCTGTTCCATGACACCAGGCCCTTCAGTGAAGCTGACTTTGCTGAATAGTCCTCTGAATTTCTATAAATGCAGCCTTATGACATGAGATCAAGAACAGATTTTCCATGATTTATACTTCTGTTGACTCTATCCCTGATTAATTTCTATTACCAACTTCTTAATGATGCTCTAACTGCTTAACAAAACCTGTCTAAAGCATTTTCATTTTTAGGCCTATCTCTTGTAATTATTGGACTCACTGACCCAAGCCCTGATTCCATCCCATTGGCTGAATTCCCAGCTTTACCTTATCACCAGACCTGTCTGGCAATCGTGACTCTTGGCTGGATTTGGGCATGATCACCAGACCTGCCCTGCTGTCATGTCAGATCTCAAGTTCCATCCCATTCTCCTTCTTGTACCTCTGATTTCCATCAGCTGAGCATACCAGTATTTTTAAGTTGTCGTTAACTAGTCTTCGACTCCCATGTTTTCCTGTCTGTTATGTCTTCCTAATGTCTCTTCCTGTATCATGTATGAACCTCAAAAAGTCCTTTTATGTATCTTGTATCTTCAAGTTTCTCCACAATTACCAGAGACTTCATCTCATTGATCCATGACACAGGAGTTCATGTGGAGTGCATGTCTATTTTGGGGTCTCCAATCCTGACCAATTGAGTACATTTGATCTTTTTTGGAGACCACGATTAATAAATCCATCCTGAACCCAAGCTGAATTCAGCCATTAGTGCAGTTGTGAAAACACTGTGCATAAAAGGATTAGTAGCTTGGGAATCAACTTGTGCCTAGGAAGAACAAGATGAACTGGAAACAAAACTGAGGATGCTTGACGCAAAACTGAATTAAAGGGTTATGACAAAAGAAGGAGACATAATATGTCAGTAGCACAATGGCTTTGTAGAAATGAGATGATAAATTGGCTTGTGCTTTGGAAACAGGAGTGCTGAGAAATGTTTCAAAACACTGAATTGAAATGAGGCTGTTCTGATGCTTTCTGAAGCTTTTGATAATCTTTTTTTGAAGAATATTTGCCCTCATTGCTGTAAACTTATTCAAACTTTGCAAGGAGACATCTTACAACTCATGTATTACAGACTCCCAAGGATCACCAGCATACTTTTTAGAGCTCCTGAAGCTCCTGAAAGGTAACTGTTGTCAGTAGATTTTAATTTGCCGTATCTACTTTTTGAGTTTATAATTTGAAGAAGGTTGGAAACCACAAAGCATACATGATATGCGTGTTCCTTTGGGAATTTATGTTCAATAAGATGTTTTGTAGGCAATTTAGGATTCCTAATAAATCAGATTTGAAAGCACATATATATATATACATATATTCTGTCAACGTAAGTGGTCTCTCTACAATAAGGTCATACTTCATAAGCAGGTTTCTGTTTTAAAGGATGATTTCAAGTCTCGTAGTCACGAATTGGGTTAGACTGTCCCTGGAGAGGCTTTTAATCTAGCTTGGACACTACCGGACTTGCCAAAATTAACTCATGCTTCCAGACAAGTGAAATGATCAGTGATAGCTTCTGATCTAAAAATCCATCAGTACACCTCTATGTTGTTTAATCAAACAGTAGTGCTGCTTCTGATGTAAACAAACTTAGCAGAGGCTACAAATATTTATTCACCTTTTCTGCAGGTCACTCAGAGTTATGGTTTGCTAGAATATCTGAATGCCAAAGTTGGCAGGGCATAAAAGCAATGGCATAAAGAAAATACCAAAAAAACATGGTCAGTTTTTTCTGTAATTGCACTGCTATGGATGTGCTACTCTTTTTTTTTTTTTTTTTTTCAGACTTCATTTGAAACAATGCATTAACCAATGGACCTGCTGAAAGACATTGACTTTGTGTTGGAAGAGTTTGACTAGATACACTGAAAACTGATAACCTCCTGATAAACTGAAAAGGACTATTTCAGATTTGCTTTGGATTGACAGAGTAGAGATTTTCAATAGAGCTGGGCCTGTCTGGGTGAATCTGCTCCTTCGCCAAACAAAACAGAAGCTGAAAGGCAGTTCAACCACAGCCTATAACCAAATTCCAGACTACACACCAGGGGAGAAGAGAAGCTTCTCATGAATATGTTTATACTCAAAATTAGAAGGTTACTTAATCCCCATGGCATGATGGTTTGGAGCAACTCTTTACTAGAAGACTGAGGAAACACCATTTTCAGATGAGGCTTGATTAGCTGCAAGGCCTGTCTGTGGTTGCAAGAGAGCAAATGATGGGCTGCATGGGCCTGTCAGTGGGCCCCCTTCAAAACACTGCCTTACTTGTCATGGTGGGAACCCTTGGATGCTGATTGTTCTGGAAAACTCAATTTCCACTAGGTTTCTGAAAGTGACCCAAGGCTGCTCATTAAGATCAATGCAAGGCTGAGCTTTTCAAACCTCCTTTCCCACTGGTATTAACATGAGGCACCTGGAAGGAAAGAAATAGACTATGGGTGATAGATAACTGGCTACAGATTGGTCTGAATAAAACAATTTTATGAAGACTTGTCATTAGAAAAGATCAATATAAAAATAACACTAGTGATATCTCACTCAGACTTGCTACCAGTCATTATACTATCCCTTCCAATTAAGAGTTTATTGCAGGAGACGCTCCATCTCATACACTGTCTTCTGCCACTTACACTGACTCCAAGTGCATGCTAAGGGTTGCCATTGCCAGAAATTTCACAGGGAGTGACAGTGATGATGGCATCTGTAGGGATGGGTGGCACCATCTTGCCCAAGGCTAAGGCCCATCAGCGAGTGGTTGGACTGTACCCTGGAGGAGCATGTAGGGTGACTGTGGAAAACAAGGATGAGCTGCAGGGTGTAGGCTAGGTCTAATTGCAAGAAGGTGAAAGGGAACAGGATGGGATTTTATTCTGCTTTCTTTTCTTGTGTCATAAAACTAAAAGATGTTGGAGATGTTGGGCAAACCACTGCCTGACAACTTCATTAAAATTCTGTTTTGTTTTCCTTCAGTATTTTGTCTCTCTCTGCCCCCTTTTTACAATTTAACTTGGCTTATAAACATCTTGGTTGTCATGCTCACAGGCTTGTTTTTGAGTATTCACAAGCTGATACAGTTTGGGAACTAAAGAAAACAGGATCATGAAGGACGCTGAACTGCAGCAGTGTGTTTCTCTCTCATAAGATGCTTCTGGTTACCTTCCTGAAATACAGGTTTCACAAGGAACTCCTCTGGCGCAGAAGTTTGTCTGGCAAAACTAATTGATGTGAAATGGTCCAATTAGGAAACACGCTGCACTTTTCCACTTCTGATGGGGAACTCTGCTATGATTTATGTCCTGTAGGAAGAGTTTACAGACTTGGAATGCGTCTTCCTTATTTTTGCACTGATAAGCAATATGACTTGTTTGTGTTTGGCAGTCCCCAGGACCAAATGCTGGCAAATAGAAAGGGTAAGAATTGTTCAACCAAGAGTACATCTGCCCTAGCTTCTTCAGCTAATGACCAGCCTATGTGTGCATGCCTACTAATAAAACTGAAAGGATTGTGTTCATTATCATTTCATGTAGCAAAACTGAATGGCATCCACACCAAACAACTGGTACATACCCCATCACAGCTCAGACTGACCTAAAACAAAATGCCTGCCATTTTCAGGGACCATCCTCCTCAGAACCATCTTTCTCAATGAAAGGTCACAAATTATAGGAGAGCAGGCAGAGAGCTCACTCATAGAACTAGCTCTGAGCGTCTGATGTGCCTAGCAGGTTCCTCTAGCAGGAAGATTTTCCAGGATCCTAACGCTTAAATGTCTCCTGCTGGCAGCCAGCTTGAGCCCCCAGGCCTTCTATTCATGAGCTCAGTAATAAAGCACTTTTACTACTTCAGGTTCATAGCTAAGCGTTTTCCAAAGCAGAGGGTACACCCATATGGAAATTAAATACTGAGAAGTCAGAGTTTTTCCAGCTAAAACATTTCAGGTGCTTAAATTTGCCTGTCCCAAACATAAAAAATCCCCAGCAAGGCAAATGCTCTCACGAGTAAATAGCTGATCAAGACAAACAGGTCAGCAGATAGCTCAGTGACTCTGAGGGCCACTGCCCACTGCTTTACTGGACTTTGAACAGCATTTCCTATGGCATATTGTTAAAAGGAAAAGCAAGATAGAGTGATCTTGTCACATACAGGAAAATTCTGTTTATAAACCTTATTCTTACCTCATGTTTTCTGCACGTGAACTTCACCGATTTGGTACAGTACATCTACACGGCCACTTGATTTTTTTTATTGCATGAATTGTTACTGTGCAACATGAAAAAGCATCTGAAAGCAACTGATTTGTTTTCCATACATGATTCATTTGCATTGCCTTCATCATAATCCATTACTAAGGCAGCAGAGTAGGAGTTGATAGTGCCATCTTCTCTCTTTCCCCTGCAGAGATTTAACTATGTAAAAGATTGATCTAATGGCTTAGTGCTACAGAAATACTTAAAAAATATTCCCTAAGCCCTCGCCCTGTGATCCACCCATTCATTTTGTGGTTGCTCTGAGTCATGTTAGGCTATTCTACAATCCAGTTTGTCTCATTGAAGCCACTATATTCTTTCTTCCTCATTTTTGCTTTTTTTCCCCCCCCTCCTGTTTTATTGCATTAAATCAGCTCACAGGAGTTGGCCATGCAGCAGAATCAGCACACACAGCCAGCAGCTCTCTGAGCAGAAATATCAGCACTGATTTCCAGCAGCAGTGAGCTGGTAACTTAGCTCACCGCATCTCAGGAAAACATACTGAGCTATCAGATCATGTGAACATGCCTCATCTATACTGTTTAGAATCTAATTAGCTTAACTCCTACTGGAGGTTCTTTTGGACATGAAGAGACTTCATATGGTTGTTTTTGCTTGCTCACCTCTTAAGAAAGCACCCCTCAACAGAAAGGTGGCAACACCTGTAACTATTGCAAGCATTTTTACAGAGAGCATTGAAGCAAAGCCCAGGAGTGTGCAGCTGTCACTGAAGGAATAACACAAGCACCAGCCGATGTAATTACTGTAATGCAAGGCTGGATGCGAAGAAAAAACAAACACCAGATTTAGCAATTAGAGGTAGGGGTGGTTTCCACACAAAGAACTTTATTTTCCTAAATACAGCAGTGAAAAAACAAACTTTTAGAAGAAGAAAAAAAGAAAAAAAAAGAGAGAGGATTTTATGTCTATATGTTTAATCACTTTTTCTAAGACAAAAATCATTTACATTCTGATAACTCACACTCGTAAATAAATAAAGGCAGCAGGGCATAACATTCAAATGAGTACCCTGTAAAATTAGCAATGTATTTTTATTAATCAGGAATATAACACTGCAGTATTTAACCTTGAATTTGTATATACACAAATGCCACACCTTACACAGCAGTAAATCAGGACATACACCATAGGAGCATGTACAATAATTTATGTTAACAAAAGCCTCCTCCAAACTGGTAACAGAGCAAAAACCCTCTGAGAGGTGAGTAACAAAAATAAAGACTGACATAACCAAACAAAACCAATTCAAAGGGAAATACAGTTAACAAGTAGAAATTATGAAGTATCATTACCTCCCCAAAATATCCAGCAACCTGTTTAGCTCTAAGGTAGGTTACAAAGAACACAGAAAAGTTACTTTACTTCGGTAGAACACTAAAATGCAAGCTTTTGCAACTTGGTCCATTTACATTTTGCTAATTATTTAGCCTGCCATATTGAGAAGTTGTGTGTTCCTCAATGTTTGGATATAGAAAGGAATCATTACATTCTTCAGAACAAAAGCAAGACTTTGAGAAATCTCTGCTTTTTCCTTTTCTTTTTTGGTTAAGCATATTTAGTTTTCATTCATGCAAAAATTGAACTGATCCCATTCCAGATGAGGAGTTTACCATAAAATTTAAATAATCGATTAGATTACAGAACAATGGGAAAAAGCTTAATCCACACGGTATCGTGCTACCAAATCCTAGTCAGTTAATGAAAATGGCACTAACCTTACACATTTGCCTCACTAGAGATGCAGGCTTGACTTTTCAATTCAGAGAAGCTGAAAGATAAGCAGAGTTAAAATAGATCTGAAAACTATACTTACTCATTTTTTGCCTAAGTTCAAACACTTATAAAGCTACACATGGCCTCCAAAGAACACCACCATTAAATTGTTAAACAACCTACAAGAAACCACTGCAGACCTGACAGCAATACAAAAGAAAAATGCATACTATTACCACACTGTTACATTCTTACATTTCCTAAAAATTTAAGCATAAACCAGAGATTGAAGTTCAAACACAGAGAAATCTTGAAATGAGTAAAATAATTCAGGTGTCAAACATCACTATTCCGTGTCAGCCATAAAATCTATGAATACAGATTGGAATTTTACCCAGAAGAAATGGTTTTATTTATTTATGTATTTATTTTTAGGTAAGGGCAGATACATTCAACCAGGTTCTATCTCTGAAGAGCCAGGGAGAACCCTGCAGCAAATGTTCTGTCATTGCCAAACTGTACCTTAGGTACCTAACTGAAAAAACAGATTGGTTTTGGCAAGTAAAATGCAGAGAAATCACATGCATGCTCACAAAACAAGATATACTCACACTCTGAAGTGACACAGGCTTTCAGCAGCATCTGAAAGCATGTTGCAGAGGAAGAGTACTCCCTCCTCCTTGTCCCCGATCTCCGTATTTACTTTAAAATAAATAAATTCATTTTTAAATAGAATATATTTTTCCAAACTTTGATGCTTGTTGTCAGGACGCCATACAGCAGTTCTCACCTATTGTATTACATTAACTTGAGATACAGTGGAATTATATATGCATAATAAATCCAGTTTGCATCAAGATGCCAGTAAACAGTTTCTGTATCCACACATAATGGTGCATGTTTGTGGTGTCCTAAAGGCACTTGTCTCTCACAGACAGCACTGTCTTATTTAATAGGTTAAAAATATATCTAAAAATACTTTAACATCAGAAATGGTCTTTACTCCTTAAAGAGGTGCAAAACATCACCTATGGAACTTTGATTCATTAATTCAACATGAAAGAGCGAAGTGCAAAGTTTCTGTAATTAAATATATCTCTCTGTATTCATTCATTTTAATGCCATGCTCAAAAAAAAAAAAAAAAAAAAGCTAAAAACCATGCTATAGTAGAAATGTGATAGGTGCTAGCAGCCACAAATGAAAGGTAGTGCATAAAGTAGAACAGTCGAGCTTACTTACAAAGCTTATTTATAATTAAGCAGTGAGTTACAAGGAGAGATGTATGGCAAAAGTCTTTTCCAAGACGTGCCTAAAGCCACACCTGACCAGTATGAAAGATCTATATATGTATATATATCACACAAACGTACATCATTAGGGATGCCTTTATATCTAGCTATCTAGTTTTACAAAAATAATTCCAAAATGCTCATCTGCTTCAGCATAACTTCTGTTTTCATCCAATAGGAAAAGTCAAAACCAGACAGAACAGCAGAATTTTAGAAAGACACCTAAGTAGCATTAATAAAGTTCATTGCAGTTTTCAGGTGCTAATGGATGGCAGTGTGAAATCCTCAAAACCCAACTCATCTGGCCAGTACGTATCTACAGATTGTCCTCTTCAAGTTTCAGCTTCTTAAAGCAAACATTATCAGTTTCCACCAGCAGCAGAACTGTTCTTGCAAATCATAGGTCACAGATACCATTAAAAAAGTGGCTTTGCCTATGTAAATTTGAAGCTGGCATTATACTTCTGCTAAGTAGGAAATCTAAAGAGATCTAAACAACCAGAAAGTGTGATGGATGGAATAAAACAAGTACAACCTAAAAGGCAGCAGGTTTGGGGTTTTTTTTTTGCATTTAATACTTTTCATCAAAACAGCACATTAAGAGCATTCAGACTGCTATGAAGTTACTGGGAGGAGCCTCATGCTTAAACACTAATTTTCATGTCCAGCTTTCTTGAAATAGTTCTGCCAGTACTGCACCACAAGGAATTTTCTGCATTTTGAAATATCTGCATTCTCTGAACATTACAACAGGTTATTAAAAAAAACAAAACAAACAACAAACAATCAACCAACCAACCAACCAAAAAAAAAACAGATTAAAAAAAAGAAGCAATTCAATCAACTCTTAAGCTGCTCCTTCAGAGAATCACATTTCATTGCTTATAGCATTGACCAGAATTGCTGATGGTGTACTGACAGTTGCCATGGCAAGTGGGTGACTGCGTGGGATAGCACGCATATAGCCAAGGTAACTTTTTATGCAACCCCCATGATTTAAGCAAGCATAGAACACCTTATGTGCTGCCAATGTAACAATAATCCTACATGACGTGACGCAGGAAAAAAATGTTATTTTATGTCAGGCCATGGCTCCTTCAGTACTCCCATTCATCTGTTTTCATGTCCAGGTAGTAAAGGATATTCTGTGCAAGCTTTACTGCTTGCTTTCTGGCAGCCTTACATCGCTCATCACCTTGTGGGTCAACAGCATCAAGTGCAAGAAGTTGTTTTGTAAGGAGTTCTTCCAATCGCATGTAATTTTTATCTGTTCTATTTCCATCAAAAGAAATCACCTCCTGCTGAATTTGAGACAAGTTTCCAAGAACAGTCCAAACTGCTTTATGAGACTGATGTTCTGCAGCAGTCTGCTCTGCGTACATCTGCCTTTTCCCAAGTGCTTCCTTTAAATCGATGTATGTTATGAGAGTTTGTACTTCTATCACAGCTCTTCTCCTGGCTTCTCTAATACAAGGATTTTTTCCCGGACTCACTTCATCTAACTGAGCAATTAATCCCTGCAGTTCTGCTTTGGATCCCAGATACAAATCAGAAGCATTCTCTGCTTTCAAAAGTAAAGAATTAACTTCCTTCATTTTCTTGCGGATTTCTTCTATTTTTAGAATGGACTGATTTTGTGCCAAATCATAAGCGTGAGTAGAATCCGCTTCTTCATCTAAGTCCAGGTATTTCTGCAATTTATTGATCTCTTCCACGACCTCCTTCCTGTAATTCCTTATTTCCGTACGACCGCAGACATCCAAAGCATCCAAATCAGCGACGAGGCCTGTGAGCACGCAGCCTAAATGCCTGCAGGTATCATTACTGCTCACTCCCATCAGAAGCGCAATAAGAGTTCCTCTCGCTTTGTTCACCTCACACATCACAGAGTTAATCTTGGAGACAGAAGGATGCGCATCATTAGAGAGCGGCAGGGAGAGCTGTCTCTTGGCGCAGCTCTCTATGATCTCCTGCACGGCACACACTTTGGTCAGGGTGCGATACCTCGCTTTGCGCAAAGAAACCTTCCCTCCGGTTTTCACCTGGGTGAGCCTCAGCACGATATCCTGGATGCCTTCTTCAAACTCCTCGTTGACACAGTTGCCTCCTTGGTAGAAAGGCGTGATCTCGCGCTCCACCAGCGCCTGTGCCTCCTTGAAGATGGCCTCGATCTCCAGCCGGCGCGGGTGGTTTGCGTTCTGCTCCAGCTCCTTCAGCAGCCGCTCCGTCTCCTGGGCAGCTCGCTTTCGGGCCTGCTGGATGTCCCCTTTGCCCTCGGTGTCCACGGAATCTATCTCGAACAGCTGCTTGGTGAGGGACCTCTCCAGCTTCTTGTAGTCCCGGTCCGTGGACAACCCGCTGAAGACGGCCACTTGCTGTTCGATCTCTTTGACTTCTTTCTGTATTTCGTGCAACCGTTTAATGGAAGGGTGTTGGTTCCCCATATCCATGCTCTTCTCTCATCCGGCTTCAGACGAACTGCGAGGAGGGCAAAGAGAACACGGCGGTTAATCGGGTGCCGCGCCATCTCCCAGCGCCGCTGTTTACAACTTTCCTCCGGCGCTGCGGCCGCACCGACAGCCCTGTCCCGTCCGCGGGCTCGCACCGCTCCTTCAGCCCGGGGCTGAACCCGCTGCAGGCGCAGCGCTCCCCCCACCCCGCCCCCGGCCGCCCCTTCCCACCGCTCCGGCGCTGAAGGCGACGCGGCCCCGCAGGCCCCCCCGATCCCCGGCTCACCCGGCAGCCGCCCCCGGGCTGAGGCACGGCGGCCCGGCGCGGCGCTGCGCCACGGCCGAGCGGTAACGAAGGGCGCGGAGCCCGGAGCGCGGCCCCGCCCCGCAGCACCGCCCTCGGCTGCGGGGCCGCCCTGCCCGCGCGACATCGCCGTAAAGCGCGGCCGGCGGCGGGGGATGGCGGCTGGCGGCGCCGTGCGGGCGCTGAGTGCGGGCGGCTGCCGCTACGGCCGCTTCTCCTCTTCCTTCTCCTCCGGCGGGGAGGAGCGGGCGGTGAGTGCGCGTCGCGGTGCGTTTTAAAGCCGTGCGCGGCTCCGGGATGCGCGTGAAGTCTCGGCGTTGCTCGGGAACGGCGCTAACGTCGGTCATCCCGCGTGTTTCCAGGGGCCGCGCTTCCGTCCCCCCGCCGGCTCCCGCAGGGACTGGATCGGGCCCCCCGACAAGCGCTCCAACCTCCGCCCCGTCATCTTCTACGTGCCGCCCCGCGAGTCCCGGCTGGAACGGCGGCTGCGGGAGCTGCGGGAGGAAACTCAGGCGTGGAACCAGCGCTTCTGGGCCCGGCAGAACACCGCCTTCCAGCGGGTGAGTCCGTTGCCGCTGGGGGGCGGCCTCGGGCCGGGCTGGGCGGGGTGGGGGCGTTTAAGGGTCCCTTCTAACTCCAGTGACGCCGTGACAGGTCCTGTTGCGCTGGCAGCTTGTTGCAGCTTGTTGCAGCTTGTATCGAGACTGAAAGCAAGGACGCATTCAGTTGTGTTCTGCTTTCTTTTGTGATTGCACCGAAAGGTCTGGAGCACCTCTCCAATGAGGGAAGACTGAAGGAATTGGGCTTGTTTAGCTAGGAGAAGAGAAGGCGCTGGGGAGACCTCACTGCAGCCTTCCAGTGCTTGAAGGGAGCATATAAACAGGAACGGGAGTGACTTCGTACACACAGTGATAGGACAAGGGGGAGATGGCTTTAAGCTAAAAGAGGGGCAGTTTAGGTTACATGTTTAAAAAAAATATATATCTTTATTCAGAGGGCAGTGAGGTGCTGGCACTGCTACTCAGGGAAGCTGTGGGTGCCCCGTCTCTGGAGGTGTTCAAGGCTGAGTTGAGTGGGACCCTGGGCAACCTGGTCTGCTGGGGGGCAGCCAGCCATAGCAGGGGTGTTGGAGCTCACTGACCTTCCACGCTAAACTATTCTATGATGCTATAAGTTAAGAAGAATAGGAGTGATTCAGTAATTCATTATTTCTGAGCTTTGATCACCATATCCTCCCTGACCTTGTGAAGATTTTGCAAAAATAAAACTTTTAAAAAAAATTTTGTAGAACTGCTTTTTGAGTTTGAGAAAATGGTGAAAAGATAATTATTGTGTATACATCCAAATAATGACAGATTTTAAGGCTGCATGTTTTTCTGAACACAGAAATTCTCAGTTACATACTTTTGTTTTATCTTCACTGTTTGTTTTTGTAAGATTTGGATGTAGAAAAAACAAGTTAGTGGTACTCCACACATGAGTTGTGTGTGTTTCAGTAGGACACGTGTATGAATCGATTGATGCTTGCAGCTAGCAGGTTCATTGAATCATCAAATGGCTAAGGCTGGAAGTGACCTTAAAACTTACCTAGTTCTAGATGCCTGATGTAGGCCCACCAGCTCAGGCTGCCCAGGGCTCCATCCGAGCTGGCCTTAGGCACTTCCAGGGATGGGGCACCCACAGCTCTCTGGGCATTAGTGCCAGGGTCTCGCTACAGTCTGAGTAGAGAATTTCTTTCTAACATCTAACCTAAATCTTCCATCTTTTAGTTCATAGTCATTCCCCCTTGTCTTATCACTATCAAACTATGCAAAAAAAGTCTGTCTCCTTCCCAGTTATAAGCTCCCTTCAAGTACTGGAAGGTAAGGTCTTCCTGGAGTCTTCTCCAGGCTAAACGAGCCCAACTCCTGTAGTCTTTCTTCACAGGAGAGGTGATCCAGCCCTTTGATCGTCTTCATGGCCATCCTCTGGACCAAGTCCAAAAGGATCTAAGCAACAGAGCTTTATCAGTTTAACACAAAGTCAGTGTGCCTGGGAAAATGTTCTGTTGATGTTTCCAAATTTAGTGAGTGTTGTTTGTTATTTCAGAGGGTATTAGGCACTGGGCCGTTACATGATTTAAAAATAAAGGCTTACTTCAAGGACCGAATGCCTCAAATTCTAATGTGGAAAAAAAATCTTTTAGGAAAAAGAAGAATTTATCTACTCTAGACTGAAAGCCAAGGGTCTGGAAACGAGAGATGAAACAGGTTAGTGAGATCTTTGTACAGTTCAGGATACATTATGAATTCTGTTAGACTTCAGATCTTGCTAGTTATGTGCTGTGTGTTCTATGCCAAGTAATTGTTCAGAGCATGCATATGGAAAGTGAGATCTTCTGCTTCAGTGTTTGTCCCCTAATTCCTCCTTGCCCAGCTGGAGGTAATGTGCTGAAATCCTCTTCAAGTGATTAACCGTTCTGCAGCCTAAGGAAGAACAGGCTTTCTTCTCTTACGTTTCTTAACCCAGTGAGCTAGCTGAGCTGAACGTACTAGAGCACTTGCCTTCAGTGGATATTGTGGGTGGGCAGAAAAATGCATGCTCTTTCTTCAGGTCCACATTAAATTAATACAGTATTTTCTATGAGAGAGAGTAAGATAACCTCTGAAGAATAATAATGCTTTGGGTTGGAAGGGGCCTCAAAGTTCACTTCATTCCAGCCCCATTACTGCAGGCAGGGTTGCCAACCAATAATTCAGATGCTGGATCAGGTTGCCTGTGGCCCCATCCACCCTGGCCTTTATCAGCTCCAGGGACAGGGCATCCACAGCTTCTCGGGGCAAAGAGGCAACAGCTGTTCTTTGACCATCTTTGTCTGAGCACAGTTGCTGTAAAATACTTGCCTGAATAATTTATTATGTGAAATAGAAATAAGGATGCTTTCGTAATGTAGAGAATTGGCCATTGTAGTACAAAGCTGAACATTTTGTTTATAGAATAATGATGCGTTTGACTTCAGGAAAGCATCTGTACTGATGTTCTATATATCTCAGACCTTCATGTTCCTCTTCTGTTTATGTCCTAGTGATTGGTGTGTGATTGCAAAACAAATTAAATTCTGTTGTTAAGAAAAACAACTGCTTTGTGTGTTTTTTGGTTGTTTTTTTTTTTTAAATCTGAGAAGTAGAAGAGAAAATAAATTTCTACATCCCTTACGTTGACTGCAAATATTGGGTTGGCTCCTCTCACACAGGGCTGTATATAGATAAGAGTAATAACTGCATGCATGTACAGTTGGAATAAAAGTTATTTCTTATACAAAAGATTAATAGTGCTGTCAGCAGAACTGATTGAATATTATGACTAAAGCTGTTATGATGATTTTATCCCATAGTATGTTAGGATATTGTAATACTGATAAATAGCACACAATTCTATGATCAATCTTGGGTGCTTTAATATGTGTTTTTGGAACAATAACAAGTTGAATCTCGCAGTCTCTTCTCCCTCGTGTCCGTATTCTCTGGGAAATTCTAATTTGACCCTTGTTTTAGAATTGCTGTTGATGCTAAAAAGCTTTTGTAGGAAATAACAAAGTTGAGAATATTTGTTGGCTGTCCAGGTGCTACTTGTGTGCGGTAGAAAAAGATCTTCCTTTCATGTTCTGGGGGGAGAATACGTGTCTCCTTAGCTTCCACATTGAGCAATATGTTCAAATTTGTGCGTCCTCTCTTGTACTTCTGTACAAAAAGAGTTGCCTACTAAATTAATATATCTGACATACGAAAGAGCACGTGTACTGAGATAAGTCACTTGAAATTTATTAGCAGCAGTAGAAAAAAATGTATTTTTGACATTGTTTTGTCAGTGATGAATCGTGTTCTGCCTGTACTTACAGACCTCCTTGTAGGGAGGAAATTCAAGTTCCTAAGTGCTCTTACTGGCAGTGTTTAGACTTCAGCCCTGTGACAAATTAATGTTACTCAAGAAGTAGATGACTTTTTGGGAGAGCTCATTGGCTTCCTAAGAAAGCTGAGACTTTTATAAACAAACATCACTTTCATGAGTAAGAAGGGTTTAAGAATTACTGTGCTGGTTCCAACGTGCACTGTGTTTTTAATCTGCTGTGCTCCATTGATAAGTTTTTAATATGTAAATGTATGTGTTCAAGGTTATACAAGAAGCCTGTGAGAGCAAGCAGTCAGACCTAGCTCCACAATCTGAGCCTGGTGTTTTAGTCTGAAGATCTATCTTCACATTGTCATGCCAAAACTTATTTTCAGGCCAGAAAGTGACATTGAATGCAGAGGAAATGGCTGACTTTTACAAGGACTTCCTGCGTAAAAATTTTAGAAAGCATTTGCATTATAACAGGTATGTAGAATGTATTTATGTTGACATCATAGTTTAGCTAAAAGGTGTAGAGGATTGGATCTAACTTTGTTTTTTACCATAACTTTTTAAAACGAGCAGCTGAAAGTCTTATTTTGGAAAATGGTTTATAAAGTGCTGCTGTTGGTGCTTGACGTGAATTTGCATTGGCATTTGACTTTGCTGTTTATTGTTGATTTTTGTGGTGTTAAGGGACAAGATCAATTTTATTTCTCCTGTGGCATTGGACCTTTTGTTCCTGCCAATTGAAAGTGGTAAATGTGTGAGTAAAAAGACGGCAACTTTAGAGTAACAGATTCTACTCAACTAAATTGAGTAAGGACTAGTAAATGTGATTTGCCTCAAAGGAAAATCATTTAGTAAGTGTATTATTATTATTTTTGTTATTATTTTGCAAATATGCACTCAAGATGAAGCTGAGTACCTTTGAGTTTTATTTGTGTGTGGCAAAGCCTTTTTGAAATGACCCTCTGTGCTCATCCTGAATAGAACTTCTGCTGCAGTTGGGTGCACCCACATCCACTCACCTTTTCATGTCTGCTGTGTTGTTGTCACTGTTTGTACACGACTTGATAAACTGGACTGGGATTCTGAAACAACTGGAGAATGACTTGCAAATACACATTACCAATCTGCAAATAGCTTAGTGGAGAGAAGGAAATAGGAAGCAGGCAGAGGATGTTACGCAACCCAGTTAAAGTAGTGCTGTCCACTGCATGTGAA